GTACTGTACTGTACTTTGTGTCATATTTTTGTGGTTTTTAAAAAAAATACATATGGTTCAGGACGGATTAACCATATTTACATTGAACCTTATGGGAAAATTTGATTCGGGTTGCGACCAAAGTCGCAGAACAAATTAAGTTCATGATCCGAGGTACCACTATATAGTAAGATTTCACTCAATGTACAGGTTATTTATTTATTTATATTTAAGTCTGTTATAGCCATCCAACTCTGCACATTACGACATCATTTGATCAAAAGAGGCCTCATCTATCTCCCTCCCTCCCTCCTTTCTCCCTCCCTCCCTTCCTTCCATTTCTATGTCGCCCATCTCCCCCAGTGGGTGACTCTGGGCGGCTCACAATTAGAATAAAACCCAAAAACAAGGCCCTCCTAGCCACAATTGCCACCTGCTCTTCGAACAGGAGGCCTAAGCCAAAGAGAGCAAGTATTACAAAGGCTTTCTAGTTGCCAAAGGAAGGCCGAGACTTTAATGTTTACCTATTTTGGATACTGACAGGATTCAGAACTGTTCTTGCTTCACTGTTACACAGCACAAACTCTTATAAATATGAACAAATGCAAAGACTATCCTGAACCCTGCCCATTTTGAGGCTGATTCATAATGGCCATCTTTGTGTTTTATATCCTCCTAAAGCTATAGCAATAACGTGGGGCCTTCAGGAAACAGAACGTGTTACAGGAAGAGCCCAGCTTACCTTGAAAGCATGGCTAAGAGACCTGGTGTTCACTGAATTAAGAAGGCAACCAGGACCAGCACACTGCAAAACTGAGCTCCTGGGGTCACTATGTGGTCTATGTCCTCTGAGAGCAGCCATTGTCAAAGAATGCTATTGTCTACAGCTACTGCATAAATGTGCAATTCAATTTCTGACTTGTTTTCCCACAGAGAAAACTGCTGCCTTGGAGGTAGAAGCAACATCATCCTCAACCCATGAAATTCTCACATAATACTTGCCTCCATTTTCAGTGAGTTGTAGTGGTTTTCTTCCTTGTCTTCTTTCCCTGAAAACAGAAGGGAGGATTAGAATAAGTATGGGGCACTATAAAGGGCCAAACAGATGGTTTTTGTTGGGGTCAAATGTACTTAGAGTACTTCACCTCCAACACAGGGTCTCCTTGACTATATCACATGGTAGATGGGAATAATATGGTACTACTTGCATATTAAACTCCTCTGAGCATCAGTGAGGCATTGTTTTCCCAATTATTGGGGAGTGGAATAAAAAATAGGTAACACCGAGTTTCAGCAAAAATTCTGAAATACATGTACTGTAGTCCACACAATTGTTCCCTGTGGCCAAGATTCTCATACTCACAGCATCTGTTTAGCAAAGACTCTCAGCAACGTACATTAAAAAGTTTCTTCTTGCAAGTTCAATTTTTATTTGTATTTATTATTAAATGTATATCCCACCTTTATTTTTTACAACTCAACATGATGTACATAATGCTCCTGCTTCCTATTTTCCCCACAACAATCTCATGAGGTAGCTTGGGCTTAGAGAAAGTAATTAGCACAAAGTCACCCAACCGGCTTCCATGCTGAAGAAAGAACTAGAACTCCCAGGCCCCAAGGTTCTAGTCCAGCACCTTAACCACTATACCAAACTGGCTCTCTCGTGGAAAAACTGGTGATAAATTGTCCCTTGAACACCCCAAATGTCAGGCACTGAGTTTGGGGTAATGTAAGATGATGGCCAGCTAGCATGGAACAGAGCCAAGCTCAGTTCCTGCTCCATTTAAAAATGTTACTGCATGAAGAGCTGGTTTACATGACCACAGCAAGGAAGAAACAGGGCCTTCTGAGCTTGTGGGACTTTGAGAGCAGCCTTGCTTCTTATGATGAGCCTGTTCTGGTTATGTGTGTGTTAATAAATGAGCCTTAAGTATCATACATAATATTCCAAGAAAAGTATAAAGCTTCTTCATACTTGCAGGAATATAAATTGACATTGGAACGATTAAGGGAGACTCTGGAAAGCAAGACAATTACGAAAACATTCCCCACTCTTGTCCGGTGGGTACATGATGCTAAGCTAGCTTCCCACTTTTGGCACTAGAAGGATATTGATCTTTCTTTCCTACATATACTCAACATTCCTTTGTCCTTCTACCCCTCCATTCTCCTCTATCTGGAATGTCTTTCTTAGAAAGGTTCACTTCACTGCCTTCAGCACCAGTGAAGATCCCCTGTCCCGCTCCCCAAGTTTTCAAGTCTTTTTGTTTTGAAACTTGTGCTTGTTCTCTTTATATCTTTCCAGGTTGTGAGCTTTCATTCTGCAGTAATATTTTAAAAGGTTTTATGCAAGTTTTATTGTGTTACATTATGGGATTAAACTCTACTGTTTCGGCTATTGGGCGGTAAAGTCAAGGTAAAGTCTTCTTAAAGTCCAGCTTGAATCCTAGTGACTTCACAATTTTCTTGGCAACAATATGGTAGTGGATTGGCATTGCTGTCTTTTGGGATTTTTTTTTTACTTTACACTTTAGCCTACAACTCTGATACTTCTGAGGTTCTCCCATCCAAATACTGAACAGGCCCAAACCTATTTAATTTCTGAGCCCAAACAAGGTAAGCTGGGTTCTATCACTGTTGAGACCTGTTGGGCAGCACAGATTGAAAAAGAAAATAGTAATAATAAAGTTGCAATAGATCAAGGCAAGATACAGACAGTTGACAACTAAAACTATAAAACAAAAACCTTGTAGGCATTTTGAAAAGCCACCAGGTAGGCAGAAGGAAAAGAGAAACACAGTGCTGAAAAGGTCAATCGGTGATGTGGTTAGAAGCTGTAAGAGTAGCTGCCAGAAGAGTTCCCCTCAAGAGATCATCCCACAACAGAGTGTTACAGCAATAAGCCCCCCTCCCGCCTTACATTTCACTTGCTCAACACCATTAATGGGCAAGCCTAAGAGGGAAACAGTCTTTCAGGTACTCTGTCCCTAAGCTGGGGAGGGTTTTATTAGTGATATCTAGGGTTTGGGACTATAGCTTAGAAGTCACTAGATGATCAGACTTGAAACTGGGTCATTCTTTTCTTTGCAGCAATATTCTGAAAAAAGCCTTCCTCAACCAAGTGTTTCTCAGATGAGTGAGGCTGCAACTCCAATCAGCATCAGTAAGTATAGCTGCTAGCTATGCCAGCTGAAAATGAGGGGAACTAGGATCTGAAAAGCACCTGGTTGAAGAAGGAAACTTTTCATTTCACTTCATTTCCTTCTCAAATCACGGAAACATCCCAAATTCTCTTAAATCAACCAATACAGAACTCATTCTAGGAAGAACTACTAATCACAAATGACCCAGAAGCATCCAAATCACATCTTTTCTCTCTGACTTTGATGCCTTCATCTCTCCCTTTGCTCTGACATCAGTCAAAAGGATTGTTTTTTTTAGTCAAGAAACTGTCTGACCCTTAAGGAGAGGCCCTTTTGCTGAGGACCTTCTCCTGCAGTGCTGCAGGCTACAGAATGCCCTCTCTCCAAGTTCAAAACAATTTGTAAAGATGCATCTCTTTCACCAAAAATTTAATTGATAATTAATGTCAGAATTCATTTTAGTAATATTTGCATTTTACAGTTTTAAAATTCTTCTGTTTGTTTAACTTCGTAAATTGCACAGAGTGCTTGCTATACAAAAAGGTAAGGTATAACCTGACTAAACAAATAAGGTAAAAGGCTGACATTCATCCTAGAGTGCTGAGGAGGTAGGAAGCACAACTCCCTTCACCTGCCGGGGAGCCTTTTGGAAAATGCAGAGAAGTGTAGGTGGGCACTCAGGAAAAGCCCAGCAGGCAAGTCAGGTCTGTGCATTATGCAAGCTGCCAAATAGGAACTAACGTGGGGAGGGGGAGAAGGAAGAGTGCCATTCTGTCTCTTCTGTCCTATGGTGAGTTGGCTCAGCCTCGTCTGTTCACTTCTTGCCATAAGAGCCTCTGCCTTCTTCTTGTGAGAGCTGACCTCCTTGCAGGTTTACCTCAAAATAGCATAGCATCCAATGTACTATCTTGGCTGCGGGGAGGAGGGGACAGGATGGAAAGCAGACTTGAGGGACCTCAGAATGGGAGGAAAGGGCCATGCCGCAAGCAAAATACATAGCTTGTCCAAATGTGCGTAGAAGCATGCAGGTGGAAAGAGGGGACGCAGAGAAAATAGAGTGATGACTTAATGGCCCCTTCCAACTCTATGATTTTATTAGCTGGGGATCGAGATTGAATCTAGATGGTAATTAGTGATGTCCACCAGATGTGAATTACTTGGATGCCAGAATGAGATGCTTTTCTGTTCCTCTGCTATGGGGCTACACTTTTTTATAACTGAGGGCACTTCAATGTGAGCATTTTAACTGGGACTTGTGATAAGTTCCCTTCCCTTCCCTCTTTTTAATGTTTTAAATAAAGAGTTTGCTGGACTTTTGAATTATTTACATTTGCATTTTTAATACTATTTCACTTTATTTTACCCTGCTTTGAGATGTCTTTCACTTTGGAAGTAGTACAAAATTGCTTTAATCAATCAATCAAACTGCAGTACAACCAAAACTTCTGCATGTCTATCCCCTTTGGGCCAGGAAGCTCCCCAGAGAGAATCCCACCTTATTCAGATCAGGTCAGACAACACTGCAGCAAGATCTTAGAGTTTCCAGAGACTAGGCAATGCAGCCAAGCCAAGCACTGCTGAGATGACAACATATAAGCGGCCAATAAGCCAGCTGGCAAAATGCCTTGACCAAACTCTATGGTCCTGCTTTAATTTTTCCTATGTCTAAAATATCTGAGTGTGCAAAAAACTTGTTCATCCTTTTTTATTTTTAAAAACAGATTTTAGGTTATGTTTGTCTTACTGAAATACAACACGTTCCCTGCCCTATACTTGGTCATCTTTAGCCTACCATGTTTTTAAATATCTTAATAGCATCAACATTTCACAACTTACAGTAGCCATCCTTTATCCCATCAAGGTGCCTCCCGTTCTCTCTCCTGCCCCATCCTTTGGAAGTCCCCTGCCTTTTTCTTATGACATTTCCTTGAATGCTGGGATGCCCAGGGCTGACTTTCCAGAACCCAGTACTCTAGGGGACAAAGGCATCTCCGCTCTGGAGGCACTTCCCAAAACAATTCTGGGATCACTTGGTGGTTCTGACCTGCCACTCACTCTCTCCCCCTTTGGGATCCTCTGCTTTCAGAGTTTACATCTGGCAAAGCCTCTGCATGAAGGAGGCCCCTTCCCAACAAATGCTCCTGGCAGGGCAGCAGTCAAAGAGACCCCTCCCCTTACAGGCTTCCTGCCAGCAGGAAACATAAGCTCCCTGGGAACATGGAATTTGCCACTCTCATCCACTCCACAAAGGCCTTCCCCTGGATTTCTGGGGCAGGGTATAATTCCTCAGAGGCTCACCCAAAAAAGAGTGGGGAGGGGATAAAAAGCAGACTGGAAGGAAAAAGCAGATTCTCTTAGAAAGACTGAGGAAAAGTGGAGAGAGGAAGACAGGATTTGCTTCACCTGCCCCCAGCAGAGGTAGCCTCACCATGAGAAAAAGTGGGATGGCCACATATATATTTGGGGTCTATTAAGAGCTGCAAAACAAGAAATGGGGCAGACAGGGAACCATCCACCACCACTAATTTATTCTTCCTAAGGTCCCTTGCAGCAAATCAGAAGTGTTATGTTCTTGCACAATTCCCAAGCATTTCAGGGACAGATGGGCAAGGAATTTCCTAGTTAGGGAAGGAGGTAGATCTTCCAACTGAAGCGGTAGACACACACACACACACACACACACTCATTTGCACATTAATTCATTTTAGCTGTCTTTCCAATTTTCAGACACTTTTAAAACCAAACAATCCCACATGGCAACATTTTTACAATATATGCTAAAAAAAACCAGCTAAATCTCTTTCAATCGCACTTACTGCCTTAGCAAGAACTAGTCTCCTTGGAACATTCAGGCTTTCCTTTTCTTGTACATGCCCACATGGACACTCTCACTTCTTCCTCCCACATGATGCAATGCCTCCGTTTGCTTTTCTTCTGTGACATTCCCACCCATGTAGACATACTAGCAACACCCTCAAAGGCCGCCATGCTGGTGGTCCACCAAAACCACAGCTACAATCATTTGACTACCATGTGAGTTTCAGAGCCAAATACTGCATCAACAGCCACCTGCTTTCACTTGTTCATCTAAAGTACACAACCAAACCTGTCAACTTTAAAATCACTCACCTGGGTCGAGCACCCAGATACTAGTATCTCCCAAATTTGAAGCGGATCCCTAGGAACATCAAACATTTTGCAAGTCCTGGGGATGGAGAGAATGTTCCAGATCCTGGAGAATCTTTACAATGGGCTTGTTGAAAAGAGAGCTGAGATTCATCTCAGCTACACCCTGATAGAATTTCTAATTGTGAGATGCGAAGGAGAGTGATTGCAAGTCCACCATATTCCAAGGCCAGTGGGCTTCTTATCTCATCATCCATAGGATCACAGTCATACTAAGCAATCCACAGAACCTTCCTAAAGTGAAGTGAGAAGGAATTAACTGCTTTTCTTCAGAATAACTTCTACCAGATGTTCACTAGAGTCCATGGATTGCACACGTTTGCTAGAAATGCTCTAAGCATTGGACTTCCAAGGACACCTATTGGATGGGACAGGGACACTCTTGCATTAGTGATGAAACAGGAGCAGCAGCAGGCCACCCTGTACTCAGTCTGAGAAAGGGAAGTCCCATCAGCAGTTATATAATAATATTTCAAACAGGGAGACTACAGACAAACAGAAAAAAGCTTTGATTCCTATAAGAATTTCAAAGTCAGACCCACTTTTTTGGCTGAGCAACTGAGCAGGAAAACCAGACTTAGAATTCAAATATTCATATTTAATCTCTTTTGTGCAGGATAAACCTGGCTTCCTAATTTGAATTACACCTGTAAATACCTGCACATCAGATGTTAGCTCAGGAATCAGTCCTGCCCTCCCTTGCTTCAAGGCAACTGTATGACTTCCTTTACCTTTTTTTTAAAGCTCCACACATACATTGATCTATTCATTCATTACCTTGTTTTAAAAAAGAACAAAGCAACATTTTTTTTTAATTGCAAAATTGTTCTGGGGGCTTCTTGGTGATTTCACAAGACCTTGTCAGTCAGGAATGCTAACAGGAAGGTTCCTGTGCAAGTTGCAGAACTCTTCTTTCCTACCTTAACCACTGACAGAAAAACAGCTACAAAATACAACACAGACACTCCACAGTTCTAAGATATGTAACATATCTTCAAGCTACAGGACTCTAGTTCTGTATCAGTTCTTTCTTTGCCATAGCCAGCCTCACCTAAATGTCCTCCGTACTGCTAACCTGGCTTCCAGAACGTGAGAGCTTGACCAATCCCATACATTAGTTATTCTTGATCCCTTAACTTGCTCGCTTAGACTACAAGAGGCTGATCTGACACTGTCTATTCACCTTCACTAGTAGGAGGATCAGGACTGTCCTTGGGGGTGCAGCGCCCATTTTCCAGGGCTCGCCCCATCTCTCCATCTGGCAGGCCACTGGGTTCATTCTCGCTTCGCTGCCTGCCCTTCAGATCGGTGATGGTGCTATTCTCAGAAGCACCCATCTCAGCATCTCCATTGGGCACTTGTTCCATAGGGCTGGTGTTGTGGGTAGGTGGGGGGCACTTGGGTGCTGAGGCTGTGTCTTTGGGGATTTCACTGGTCTCCACCTGAAAAGGACAAAAGCAGGAAAGAAAAAAGGTGTGAAAAAATAGTTCAAGCCATTCACACCTTCTAGATCTGGAAGAATACCACAGAACAAAAAGGACCATCAAAGCTCTATAAATCCCATCTAAGGCCAACCTTGGCAGATATCTGTGAAGGAAGGCGTGCTGTCTAATGTGAAAACAGTTGTTTCACATCTAAACAAGAACAAATTTTGCTGCATCACAAAGAGTAACAAGCTGATTCTATCATAAGCTTTTGCAGAGCAGACCCCACCATTAATTGCATGGAGTGTCATCCTGAGTTGTCAAATACACCCCCGCCCCCAGCACACATAAACAGTATAAGGAGAAGAGGAAAGAAACCACTTAGTTGTGAGATCTGAGGGAATGAAGTGCAAGAAACAGAAACAGTGTATTTATGTGACAATTACATTAAAGATTGTTGTTGTTGTTCAGTCATTAAGTCGTGTCCGATTCTTCGTGACCCCATGAACCATATCACGCCAGGCCTTCCTGTCCTTCACTGCCTCCCTGAGTTTGCTCAGTTTCATGTTCATTGCTTCAGTGACATTAAAGATTAAATGTGGGCAAATTGTAATCATCTGTAGAGTGCTGTCAATAAATAATTTGGCACTGATAAATTGAAACACGGCATATTTTAAATTACATCTGAGGTGAATGAAAATTTCCCATGGGTTAAAATATGTACAGAAAGAGTTCTCCAAGAAAGTCAATAACTTTTAAGCACCTTTTATGAAATCTTTCTGATATATTACCTACAACCTTATACGACAGGAGGTAGCTTGGCCCCATGCGCTGATAATTCCCCTTTTAAAGTCCTGCAATGCATGGGACTCCCTTTAAAAACAACTCAGAAAAACAGAGCTACTGAAGCTGGATGATTAGATCACGTTAGGTCTATCTTTTGTCAGTTGCACTGGCTTCCAGTCTGTTTGAGGACTCCATTTTAAAGTACTTCTTATAACTGTTAAGGCCCTAAATATGTAATTTAGGACCAGATGATCTGAAAGACTGATTTCTCTCACATTCAGTCCCTGCCAAATCAAGGAAGAATTTTTTTTCAGTAACCACTATCAGTTCTTTAAAAAAAAATTGGACATTTATGTTCGGATCCGACTAAACGACTGAACAACAACAAAAAATCATAATCTACTCAGAGAACAATATTGAGGTATGCCCACATTTCTTAAATTAATTAATGATTGATGGGTAAAAGTATTTTGCTCTGTTAGTGTCTCTGGTTCTGAAACACTGCAAAGAACGTCACAGCTTAGGAGCAAGAGTCTAGATCCATTGCAACTGAGAGAGGGACAGGATTTTGCAAGATGCAGGCTTATAGCAGTGCCTTGTCAGCCCAGAGGTCCATTGTCTCCTAACTGAACAAGACCATTGAAAAAAAGGAAATGGACATGTTAAGAAGTGCTATTCTCAGAGGATGCTATGACACCTCCTTTTATTAGTAACCATCTGCTTCTTTCTCTTAAATTTGCTTTCCTTTGAATCTAAACTAGATCTTATGAGGAAATAAACCATCTGGTGTCACTGAAGTAGTTGCTTGGTGTCAAGAGCCAAATGGGATTCCACACTGGTCACACAACACTTATTTCCTTAACAGTTCCATGGACTACCTTCTTCTCTCAATACTCTTTGCTGAAGCCAAGTGAATTAAGATTCTTGAAATCATGTTTTCCTGCTGCTAGCCAGATTCATCTTGCACAAGTCACCAGTATGCAGAGGGACTTGCATACTGTCCCTCTGCATCAGCTCCAATTCCTTCCTAGAGGCCTTTTCTTGCCTCTTCTTACTCATTAGATAACTGTCAAACTATTAGACAGAGGGGCAAACATGGCTAGATGCTCCATTAGAAACTAAATCTTGGCAGAAATGGCAGACATATTATCATAGAGTTTAGATAGGATCCTATTAGTTATCAGGTACTTTCATCTAGTCCAACCCTCTGCTCAATATTTAGGGATAGATGGTTAGCCAGTCTCTGCTTGAAGACCACTAGTGAAGGGAAACATATCATTTCATGAGTCAACCAATTCTACTGGTTGATATTTCTCATGGTCAGGAAATTTTTCCTAATATATAACCTGAATCTTTTACTTGGTAATTTCAACCCATTGGTTCTGGTTTTCCAAGAAAACAGAGAATTCTCCTTTATATGACAATCCTTTAGATATCTGAAGACTTCTATAATATCACCCCTCAGTCTCCTTTTCTGCAGACTGAACATACCTAGTTCCTTTAACTGTTCTTCACACAACTTGGTTTCCAGTCCCCTTACCATACCAATAGCTCTGCTCCAAATTTACTCTATTTTGTATATATCCTTTTTAAACTGAAGTGCCCAGAACTGGACACAATATTTCAAAGAAGCCTGATCAATGGAGATTAGATTGGAATAATTATTTATAGATTGTATCCATGTCTGGAGAGACTTGTGTTTTTAATTCTTTTTTATTATTGTGAGCCGCCCAGAGTCA